GACAGGTTGAGGGTCTGTCTCAAAAAAAAAAAAAAAAGCTTTGATCTAAAGTCCTCTCTTCTCCCTCCTCCCACCCCACTCTCCCCTTTCTTCCTTCTTTCCCTCCCTCCTTCCTTTTCTTCTTTCCTCCCTCCCTCCCCTCCTTCCTCTCTCTTTGTCTTTCTGTACCTTTTCTTTTCTTGTAACGTATTTGTTGTAGTGTCTCCTGCAGGTCTCTATTTTGTTATCTCCATCCTATCATATTTTTTTATGCTCCTCTGTCCCCTGCTTTCTGAATAGCAGTAATTGGATCTATAAGCCTGATCATATTCAGATATTTTGGCAAAAATACTCCACGGTGGGATGGGCTTGGTGGCTCACGCCTGTAATCCCAGCACTCTGTGGGGCTGAGGCAGGAAGATTGCTTGATATTGGGAGTCCAAGACTAGCCTGAGTAGAGTGAGACCTCATCTCTACTAAAAAAAGAAAAACTAGACAGGTGTGGTGGACACCTGTAGTCTCAGCTACTGGGAAGGCTGAGGGAAGAGGATCACCTGAGCCCAGGAGTTTGAGGTTGCTGTGCACTATGATACCATGGTGACAAAGTGACAAAAAAAAAAAATGCTCCACAGTGATCTTATGTACTTCCTACATAAGGAAGTACAGTGTCAACCTTGTCTCTCTTCTTATGATGTTATCAGCCGTTGATAATTCCTCATTTTATGTAGGATTACAACGTGGTAATACCGTATTTCTATAGTTTCTTCCTTATTATCTGCAGAGAACTCCCTGTTTGGTTTCCCTGAAGTACAGTTTGCATATGAACAGCATAATAGATCTTGATCAGAACATCTTTGATTTTTAAAATGTTATTTAAATTTTGGCCTCCATGACCTACATCTCTAAGCCCCTTCCAGTGAAACAGTATTCTCACAGGAAATCTCTAAATGCATAAATCTCATAATGACTTTCCTAATGTGCCTTATTGCTGGTCTCCTCCCTCCCCTCTAGCTTGCCTAGGTTACCCATAAAGCAGTGTGCTAGGCTTGGCGCCTGTGGCTCAACCGGCTAAGGCGCCAGCCACGTACACCTAAGGTGGTGGGTTCGAATCCCCAGCCCGGACCCGCCAAACAACAATGACGGCTGCAACCAAAAAATAGCCGGGCGTTGTGGCGGGTGCCTGTGGTCCCAGCTACTTGGGAGGCTGAGGCAGGAGACTCGCTTGAGCCTAGGAGTTGGAGGTTGCTGTGAGCTGTAATGCCATGGCACTCTACCCAGGGGGACAGCTTGAGGCTCTGTCTCAAAAAAAAAAAGCAGTGTGCTAAAGAGCTCAATAGATAATCAAGTGATCCTTTAGTCAAGGAGAGAATCAAACTCACTAGGTAATACTGCCAGTACTGTCCGGGCTGAAGAAGGAGCAGCAGCTACATGCCTATTAGCTGGGAACGATTTTACACCCCTAGTGTGGTAATACGAGAGTATACCATGTTCATTTATTCTATCTACCCTAAATTCAAATATGATCAATCTGTAGACAATGGAAATAATTTGTAAAAATCAAATGAGGTAAGGAAAGAGGCCCCGAGGTGACATAAGGGGTAATTTTGATCAAATCAAGGGGTTTCCTCTCTCCAAGTGTAAGTGTTTTGGCCAGGAGTAGAATCAG